TTGTCATCTTTATGTCCTAAAACATAAAGATGGCAAATGAACTCTAGTAAATTCTGAGTAGCTTTTTCCCTTGTTAACTTGTTTAATCTTTCCAGTAAACTCCTTCCCACCAGAAGCTCAGCTGGGACTGCTTGCTTAAATTTATTTTGCTTAAAAAACAGGAACTGGGCCTTAAACCCATTATTAATAAACAGTTTATTTTTTACCATGAGGCATCAGATGTAACTCATACATTATTGTCCATTTAATTAAAGACATTCACCTTCCCAGTTGTTTCTCTAATCAGCTTAATCTAAAGCAAATAAATTCAATGGGTGCTTTGCCAGTAATGTCAGGGACCTTGGTGCAAACGCAAACACTTTCAGACTCCTTCCCTTGTCATCCTGGGTGTTACCAGATCCTGATCTGTCCTGAGATATGCTTGAACTTCTGGGGTCTCTGCTTTGTCACCAGCAGGTTGTCCAAGGTGGATGCTGCCATGCCTGGCCCACCTCTTGTCTTTACCTTTTTTCTTATTCCCTTTGAACTCAAAAGTGGACCTGTAAGATATTAAAGTAACTTAAGGCACAACTCTCCTAGGGAAGCAAGTCTGAGCAAGTGTCTGGCTACGTCAATGGCAATGACCCTTCAAGCTAACCCGTATACAAGATCATTTCCTACGAAACGGAGGGGATGTTTCAAGCAGCTGGCTGGAGCAAGGAGTTTGTCTGTGACTATTACCCGGAGGGAAAAAAAATAGGTATCTTATTTTCAGTCCTTTCTACAGCTGGCTTTCTGAGTCTTCTTAGTTCAGGAGTAACCAAATGAGTTCATGGAAAACAATTCCACTGAGGGCTATGAAGTACAAATACAAAGATACCACCCTGACTCCAGAAATCACCTCTGAAGTTTGTTAGAGAGGTTTCTGGGGGAAAGTGGGGTGAGAAACAGAAGGTAAAAGTAGCTGGAAATGTCTGGGTTGATAAAATACACCCCGCTTTCAGTGACCTGCAAAAGAGGGGAAAGTGGGTTGACCTTTGTTTATAGAGATATGCCAAAGATGAGTTTTTCTTCCCTGCATCTTGCCTTTAATTCACTTTTATTCCCAGTCATCATATGCTCCAGTGGCATCTGCGACATGATTCAAATGGGGGTAAGAGAGAGCATGTGATGTCTGCAGGTAGGAGAAACCAAGACATGTAGATAATTACAGATAGTAAAGAATTATTCTGAAAAAAAATATAGAATGTGACCAGCAATCTCTCTGTGATCTCCTCTAACTTTTTCAGTGCCCAGAAAGCTGCCTTGATGCTCACTGTTTTAGTGTGTAGGGCAGACAGAAAAGGGATGAAAATGCTCCTGCAATGTTTTCTCAAGCACCTGAGCCACCTCTGCTGACCAAGTAGCTGCACTTCCGTGACTGTATCATCTGTGTGGTGACATCAGCACTGGTTTGCCATTAGATAACACTTCTCGGAAAGGGAAATTTAATCTATTGGATTACTCTTTCAAGTAATTGGGGAGGGAACGCAAACAGGGAAGCTTTGCAAGGCAGAGTTTGTTTTTACTTATGACGTCCTTTAAAACAAAGATTAACCATCTGCTCAGACAAGTCCTTGTAGAGCTAAGGTTCAAAACTGAAAGCAACAACCAAGCAGAAGTGTGCCAAAGTAGATGTGACTCAAGAACTGTGTCGCAAGCTGTGGGCTATGAGAAATCGGCTTTGTTACAAGAATCCACGACAGCTTGAATGCTGGATGTTTTGGGTTAGTTTCCCCTTTTTTGAATTTTAATGTTACTAGCTTTTGCAGTTGAGTGGTTGGTTTGATTATTCCTATGAACCCTATAAAAGAAAACTTTTTTAGTTTGGAGAAAGCTGAAAGAGAAGGACAAAGGCAGACCCTCTGTCCTCGAAGGTAGATACCTCCGAACCACTTGACCTGGTTTGGGATTGCTCCCCTTGGCAGCCCTGCCCAGGGGCTGTTTCCATAAGGCAGGACCACTGACAAAAGCCTGAAGGACTGTGTTGGGACTAGGGACATACTTTGCAGAGCATCCCCTTCATGCACTGCAGGAGAGCCAGAGCCAGTGCCACTTCTTGACTGAACTGGGTCCTGTGCTTGTAGATTTAACCTCATTTTCTGCTACAGTCTCCTGATACATGAAGAAAGCAAATTCAAGTGCGCCACTGTTCATTGAGGCAGCAAACTTGGGGGGGTGTTGGAGGGGTAAGTGGTGTAGAAAATTCCCCTCCTGCAGTTCATGGTGTTCTTCTAAACTATTTATAAATAGGTCTATTTTAGGATGGCTTCACTGTTCTCATTTGCAAGGCTTCTCTCAGATCTGGAAGTAAAAATCGGGCTGATTCCCTCCATTTGAAATAAACAGGGGAAGAAATTTAACACTGTAGGCAGGTGGCTTTAATGCAGTAATTCCCAGGAACATTCCTCCCTCATGCATGGTGGGGACAGAGCTCTCAGCCCACTTTCCCTTCTGCTCCCTCTTCATTTCCCTGCCCTCTTCATTAGTTGATGATAGTTGTAACTTCCTGTATCCTTTTAAAGAGATCCCCCTGCACATCATCTGCGATTCATGAAATGCAGAGATTTGGTAAGCAGCACAAATGGCTTGCACTTGCCAGAAGCCCTGGATAAGTTTTCAGCTGAGTTTATACTTCACCTCCCTCCACTCTAGAGAGGAATAACCTATGGCTTCATTTTCTCCAGGAAAACTTGCACCAAGAAACAGCAATCTATTTTGTGAAGGATTATTTTTTGCTGATTGAGAGGTGTTTGGAGATGACAGGCATCTGATCTCATCTTAAGCCTTAAATTGCAGTAAATCCTCTATTTATTTACTTTTTACTTCATCCAAATAGGACATTATCCTGCCTTTGAGTTAACACTTTCAATGCTTGCCTCAGCTAAGTGCTGCATGCCAGAGGTATTATTACCTACCAACACTGGACAAGGAGCAGCACAGAGCCACCAAGTCAAGTATGAAACAGCGAAAACACTAAATAGGATTATGTGGCTCATGAGACACAGATAATGAGAACCAGCCTGCTAAGCAGTCTTTAAGTTGTACTACATATATGTAACAATCATTTTGCTTCTGCAGGGGGCAACTGAAGGACAGGGCTGTGAAACAGCCCAAGACACGTGCTTTGTGTGTATGGGCATAGTATGTAAGGCCTCATCGCCTTCCTCATGCTGGCATCCAAAGGCTGGGAGTAAGAAAGAGCTCAATGGACATTTTCTTGAGGTCATAACTTATATCCGAATGAAGAAAACGTGGCTTTGAACATGGGTGTGCAAAAATTCACTTCTGAAATGGAAACTTTTGTTGTTACATAATCAAGAGCACCTTACCCTCCCATATCCACAGGACCTAGCTAGCAGCTTTCTTCAGAGTAGATTATCCTTGACTCAAATGATATATTTACTTTGGGATGGGTTTCTAATAAATAGAAGTTTCTAGGTGTTCTGAATGCAGGGAATGTAAGTGGTAGGTTAGTACACTATGAACTTAAACAAAGAAGACTTATAAGACTAAATACTGTTTTACTGCCTATTTAAGACTTTGAGATGAAATGTTTGTATAAAAAGAAGATGCAATATGCCAAGACAGTGGTTTTATGTCTGCTATTACTAACACAGTGTTACAAAGACCCACAAGGTCTCTGTAAACACTCTGCTCTGACCGAGCTATGAATTAAGGCCAAGACGAACTTCTTTCAGTAAGTCCCAATCACTGAGGCAAAGCACTCTTCTTCAAAGAGGTGTCCTGGGCAATAAGTCTAGAGGTGGTCTGATCAACAACAGAGCTCATTCATATATGTTTTTACTGATGTATGGTCTTTTAACCCAACAATAATGTGTGCAGGTGTAATAGCACAGAAGCACTAAACAGCTAATTGCTTCTGTTCTTGGATGTGTTCAGCTGCTTCTTGTTCTGAGCATCCCACAGGCTCAGAGGGATAGTTTCTGTGCAGGCAGTAGCAGCTACCCTGGCAAATAAGTGTTCACCCTCTGTTTAGAAATCTGATTTTCTTCCCTTGTTTGTTGTGGAAAAAAATCACAGGGCATTCTTGTTACAGAATTCCTTTCCTGTGTTTTGCACTCTTGCAATCTCTGCAATTATCTTGGGCACAGCAATTACTATTGTACCAGCTGTAATTCTTGCAATAGGTGATCCTAACTAACCATTGCTATGTGTCTTGTGAAATTCCAGCACTGGTGAGTGTGAACCCCACCAGAGCTTTTATTATGGATTTCACTAATTTGTTTGGGTATGCATATTGAAGGCTTTGATGTGATTTACCTTAATGCTATAGCAAAGTGAATTGCTAAAATTATTTACTTCTGAAATCTGATCTTTTATGTAGAAAAGTGCAGTTTCTGGCAGGTGGTAAGGGATGAGTTTACGCAGTGTATTTTTCAACTGCTTGGCACCTCAGCTGAACAGCACAGGTTTTAGTTTTATACATCACTGAAAAAACCTCATAAAACAAGGTTCAAGAGGACTATCTCTGTGTTTCAACAACTGTTTCAATTATTATGAAATCATTTATTTTAATAACTGCCATTTCAAAGGTTTTTTTGTAGCTCTATTTCAATTATAGACACTAGTTATATGCATATATTCATAGGAGGCCTTAAAAGTTTTATTTCTTTTTATATTTCTTTCATTTATATTGATTAAATGTCATACACTAAATAACTACCCATTAACATATGATTTGCCCATTAGTAATTACTTTGTCATCCTTACTTCCTCAGGCTATTTTCAACTTTAAGCCACTGTTAATCCATGACCTTTAGTGCTTTTGTCTCCAGGTCTGAATTATATAAGTATTATGGAACAAGAATTGAAATGAACTACTCTTGGCTTTATTGTACAATTACAGTCAGCTGATTGGTTTTTCTATTTCCACTAACTAAAATAATAGAGTAAATTTAATTCTTTTAAGAAAGAATCATAAGAATTTATTAATTTTACTTTTTTTTTTTTTTTTGGAGTGTAGGAAAGCCAAGTATTTCTAAGAAGAAAGTAAAAATGGAGGAAATCAGCCACTGTCTGCTTTTCTGGGTGTTCAGGATTGCTGCCAAACAGACACAAAGACGACCGAAGCAGAAATGTACCCCGCACTCTGCAGTGGCCACTGCAGTGGTAACTGAATAAAATCCACTGAGAGGAAAAGAAAGGCACTTTGGTCATGGAGCCGAAATGGAAAAGTAGATGTGTTTAAAGGACCTTTTTGTGTTGTGGCTCCTCAGACTCCTTCTCCTTCCATGAGACTACCCAAAAAGCAGAACACCTGCTGAATGTCAGGTTTCCTTTTGGCTGCAGGAGCACAGCATCACACAGCATGGTCAGGTCTCTAACAGACCGGGGGGGGCAGTTTGCTATTGCTCGTGTTCCAGGCAAGCCATTTGATTCTTGTTTGAAATGCTATCTCTAAGCTGCTTTTGCTGAATTGCTTACTTTCATGAGAGGTTATAAACAAAAGGCCCGACTTCTGGAAGAGTTTGGCTTCCTTATATGATACTGGTTTCCAAGGGGCATGTAAATAAGGGGTCACATTTTCCAAAGGGAGGACTGCCCTAGCATCAGTGTTGTGAGAACTCTGCTTTGCAGTTCCATGGGTGTATTTAGGGGGAAACATTACTGTCAGGCTGAGTCAGTGGCCTAAATTCTCCTTCCTTTATCCATACAACCACATGAAAGCCTGTGCCTCCTATCCACAGAGTGTGCATGAATAATTTGCTTGGCATGAGACTGGAGCTTGCTAGCACCGTAACTATGCCTTTGTAGGCTCCATATGTCCCTTGCCTGGGACCTTTTGAAATGATATAAAACTCTGGTACTGTGACCAAAAAGAAAAAAGTCTGGGCAATGACTTCAGAAGCAACTGGGAGTGACTTGGAGCTCACGAAAGGACTCTTGACTTCAGTGGTGTTGACCCAAGTCCATGACACTGGAGAGTTACATCCAGACCTTACGGAGATCCTAGAATAACCCCTGTGGTCTGCAAAGATTGTGTTTTTAATCACTGCGAAGGAGTCCTGACTTCCAAACACTTCAGAAACACTGGACTCTTTAACTGTATTTCTTGAAATATGCTCAAGAAATAAGTGTGCACACACATTGCCTGTCCCTGGCCTCCTCTATGCACTGAACATTTTTGGTGTAGGAGAGTTCCATAACGGAAGCGTAAACCTTGTGTTTACATCTATAAACAAGATAAGGTACAAATTGCTGCAATACAAACTTCCTTGCTCTGGCCCTCCACTGACCTCAGCTATAAAGGACGAGGATCCTCCTTTCTCACAGTTGCAGGGTCTTTAGGACAAAGTTTCAGCCAGCAAGCATGCTTGCAAGGTCTTCTATGTGAATTTTTCCAACCGCCATGCTACTCATACACCATGGGACTCATGGCTGTGACATGGGGATAAGGCATCCCCACTTGCAAGTTGCTCCAGACACCACCACCCACAAGGTGAGGTGAGTTGCATTTGCACGTACCTCCTGAAATCAAGAAATGAGCCATGGGCACTTTTGCTGAAGGGCTTTGGTAGTGAAGTGCACTCTTGTACTGCATTTCAGACTGACGGCAGATACGTGTATGCGCTCCTATCTTCTGGATGGGTCAATCCATCCTTCATCCAATCATTTCTTTGCTGGGTCAGATAAATTGGTTGAAAAATATCCGAGTAAACCAAGTATAATTAGATTAAAAAGCTACTCATGCATTGTCCTATTTTTACAGATTTCAGTGGATGCAGAAAGAAAAAGATCTGCCAATAAGACGAGCTGGTTTCTAGGCAAAGGAACCTGACTCCCTGGTGGCCTGGACGCATGGTCTGAAGGAAGGACACAAGCAGAGGGCTGGGGTATGAGGAAAGTGAAAGGGATTTCTGCTCTTGACAGCTGTAATTATAGCTCCATGCACTGAGAGAGCTCACAGTCTTTTTTGCTTAAAGCTCACAGCCATTGGCAACCCTAGTCTGGCTGCATACACATGCCATTGAGACTAGGGAGGGCTGTTTTTAATCAGAATTTATTAAGCTGAGATTCCTATAGCCATGTCTGTTCTTGGTGATCAGTGGAAGCTAAGCTATCATAACCGGTATCGATGTCAGAGCACAGGACAGTGCAAGGTCAAGCCTTTCAACACCAACACTGCATTTGCAAAGGGCGAAGAGTTCCAGTGATGTTTGTATCTCCCCAGACAGGAATGAGGTCCTCTCCTCCCTGAACAGCTCATCAGAGAACATCACACCTCTGGCATGGGTCACCCAATGGCACATCCTCAGATGGACTGGTGCTCAGGTATGGCACTGCTTACAAAGGTTACCTTGTTCTTACCCTGTCACCATTGAACGGTCACTGTTGGCAGGCCCTGGAGATGGCATGGAAATGGCCATAACAGAGCAGTAGTCTTTACGTGTTTAAGCAATGCAGAAGCTCCTCTTTTGTTCCTCATGCTGTGCAGTGGGCTGCAAGCGAGTGGCTTAGGGATGGCTGTGAGACGGAAGGGCCATGGAGATGGCTCTTGGTTAGAGATGCTATAGAACCATAGAATGGTTTGGGTTGGATGAGGCTGCCAAAGCAGCAGAGAGGTGGTGACATTGGATCCCTCCTGATGCTCTCGATATAAGCATGTCAGATCTTGAAAAATGCTGACTCCTGTCTCAGAGGCCTATTTTCTATTCACAGTGGTGTTCAAAAATGTTTGGTGCAGTCAGATATGCTGCTCTAAACCAGATGGCCTTACATACACATAACCAGGGCTACAAAGTTACAGTCTCAGTATTTAGAGGCATTAATTCATTCACAGAATCAAACAGGATAAGAATGTATTTGTTTTGATGAGCCCAGCATTACACATCTGTTCTTGGAGTGTTCTTTTGGCTCTTGTGGTGTTTGACTTGTGGGTGCTGGGAGATGCCAGCATGGCTCACCAGCTATGATGGTCTAGGGCTCTCAGCCATCATCAGCCAGCATCTCCCTGTCCTGGTGTCATACAAACACAGAAGTCCACTTTTGTTGGTAGATGAAATGGCTCAGATTTGGACAATTCTGTTTTGAATATGGGCTTTGAGTTACAAACAGCCATGGGCAGGAACCTGCTATGAAAACAGTATAGAGAAACAATGCTGCTGCTATGCACGGGTTTTCCCTCTCCTGAAACAAATGCTACTCTTAGCTGGCCAGCCTGCATGGAGTAATGCATTAACTGAGTGTGATAAGGCAGGGGAACTCCGATACCAGCTCCACTTTCAGTCCTGTGTTTGTTCTGCAGTTAGCACAAAGGGGTCTTGGTCCCTTGGTAGGCCCTGTCATGTCAAAACAATGTCAGTTAAGTCAACAAATCCATTCATGTTACAGTGATTTCCAAGTCATGCTTCCTCCCTTTAAAAATTCTGGATGGAAACGTTAGGGATATTTAAGAATTAAGCTGATAAAACATGGGGAGAAAAATGTGGGAACAGCTGGCTCACAAACATGAGCCTGATTCCCATCACCAGCATTCAGTAATGCTATTTATATTCTAGTGTATACAGAAAGTAGAGAGGCCTGAAAAACATGACATATTTATCCCAGTATTAATGTATCATGAGACAGGGAATTACCCCTTTAGCAGTGCTGCCATGTCTCCAGGCATACAAAACATGCTGTCCACATCACATCTTCTCAGGTCTGCCATGCACCTGCCAGTGATGAGGAGTCATGGTTATCAGGAAGGTCCAAATGATCCAAATCCTCTAACTATCTCTGGATAACACTTCTAGCTGGGAAAGAAATGTCATGCCCTCTCACTGGGTGCATGTGAGTTCTGTTCTTGGTGTCATCAAATTCAGCCCCTGATATTGTAGGTAATAGTGCTATAATCCTTATTGCAAACTGATCACTCTTTTTTTTAGGAGTAAGTGTATGAAAGCAACCTCTAGAATAGTGGCATGTTGCTTTCTCTTTCAGTCATGCTGCTTACTCCTAGTGGCTTCCTTATGGATCCTGTCACAGTTCATCCCTCCTTGCAACCAAAAGACAAAGTGAGGCTTGGTTTTAAAGTCTTGGGAATTTTGAGGACTGATCCATGGTTTTGTGTGCTTACAAAATTAGCTGCTTACTTTATTAACTGAAAACAGGTAAGTCATATGTATAAGTGATGAGAAATACCTGCTTGTGCAATGAATAATTAATCAGTGAAAGAAAGTGCTGCAGGATAGTACCTGGGACGGAAACTGCATAATGTCAGGTGAAATTCCCAATGACTGGAAAAAGGGAAATATAACCCCCATTTTCAAGAAGGGGAAAATGGATGACTCGGGGAATTACAGAGCAGTCAGTCTCACTTCCGTGCCTGGCAAAATCTTGGGGCAGATTCTCCTGGAAGGCATGCTAAGGCACATGAAAAACAACAAGGTGCTTGGTGACAGCCAGCATGGCTTCACTAAGGGGAAATCCTGCCTGACCAATTTGGTGGCCTTCTATGATGGGGCTACAGAACTGATGGACAGGGGTAGAGCAGTTGATGTCATCTACCTGGACTTGTGCAAAGCGTTTGACACTGTCCCACACAACCTCCTTGTCTCTAAATTGGAGAGACATCAATTTGATGGATGGACCACTCGGTGGATAAAGAAATGGCTGGATGGTCACACATAAAGAGCTGTGGTCAGTGGCTCAGTGTCCGGCTGGAGGCCGGTAACGAGTGGTGTCCCTCAGGGATTGGTGTTGGGACCGGTCTTGTTCAACATCTTTGTTGCTGACATGGACAGTGGGATTGAGTGCGCCCTCAGCAAGTTTGCCGATGACACCAAGCTGTGTGGTTCGGTTGATACCCTGGAGGGAAGGAATGCCATCCAGAGGGACCTTGACACGCTTGTGAGGTGGGCTGATGCCAACCTCATGAAGTTTAACCATGCCAAGTGCAAGGTCCTACACCTGGGTAGGAGCAATCCCAGGCACAGCTACAGGTTGGGCAGAGAAGAGATTCAGAGCAGCCCTGCAGAGAAGGACTTGGGGGTGTTGGTTGATGAGAAAATGAACATGAGCCAGCTTCAGTGTGCACTTGCAGCCCAGAAAGCCAACCGTATCCTGGGCTGTATCAAAAGGAGCGTGACCAGCAGGTCGAAGGAGGTGATCCTGCCCCTCTGTTCTGCTCTTGTGAGATCTCACCTGAAGTATTGTGTGCAGTTCTGGTGTCCTCAACATAAAAAGGACATGGAACTGTTGGAACAAGTCCAGAGGAGGGCCACGAGGATGATCAGGAGACTGGAACACCTCCCATATGAAGACAGGCTGAGAAAGTTGGGGCTGTTCAGCCTGGAGAAGAGAAGGCTGCGTGGAGACCTCATAGCAGCCTTCCAGTATCTGAAGGGGGCCTATAGGGATGCTGGGAGGGACTCTTCATTATGGACTGGAGTGATAGGACAAGGGGTAATGGGTTAAAACTTAAACAGGGGAAGTTTAGATTGGATATAAGGAAGGAGCTCTTTACTGTTAGGGTGGTGAGGCACTGGAATGGGTTGCCCAGGGAAGTTGTGAATGCTCCATCTCCGGCAGTGTTCAAGGTCAGGTTGGACAGAACCTTGGGTGACATGGTTTTGTGTGAGTTGTCCCTGCCCATGGCAGGGGAGTTGGAACTGTATGATGTTAAGGTCCTTTCCAACCCTAACTATTCTATGATTCTAATATCAGTCTTCACGAGTCAATCTGCTACCTATAAAGCTAAAGAAAGGGATTTCTGCTGTCTGTCCTCTCTTCAGGCAGAAAACAGAGTCAGTAAAAAACTGTCCTCTTAACACTGTCTGCATTTAGAAACAGCCTACATTTCAAGTAATTAAAGCTGATGATCCTGACAAACATTTGCCTCCAAAGAAATAGTATATTGTAAATGTAAACTCTCGAGATCCTTCCAGGCATATCAGCACAACTGTCTCCTAAAAATTCCTCCCAAGCCATCTGGTGCCTTATCTTTGTAGCCAAGCCATACAATAACTTTAAAAGATGATTGTTGCTTTAGTCTCAGGACTACAGATTCCCTTCAAAATATCACAGCTAGCCCTGAACCCATCAGCAGGGAGCTCTGGCTGTGTGAATACTCCACTTTTTTCTATCAGGACCCAAAATATCCAGCTGCGGTTCTCTGGGGAGATCCCTTCCTCATGTGGTTTGCAAAGGGGGTGAGGGAGAATGCTGTGCACTTCCAAACAGGGATTTATACTCCATTAATTCTCTCTACGGCAGCCCAGCCTGAGTGGCACGACATGAATGTGGTTACAAAGGCTGCAGCCAACCCACATCATTCTTGTAGCTCTCCCTGTACCTGCGAGGGGAAGTATGGTTGCCAGGTTTGCTCCTACACAGCTTTTGCTATCAAAAAAGGTGTTTAGTGAGTGAGAGGGCAGGAAAGCATGGAGCACAGATGGCTGATGGAAACAACTAGGGAGGGAAAGGACATCTCTGCTTCAGCTTTGCAGATCATCCAGGGTTTGCTCTCCCCTGGTTGCACACCACTACTTCTGAGCCTGCTCCTTAACATCTCACCTAAATTCCATCATTTAAGAAACACTGAATTCTTACCGTTAAGCGCCCTATTTTGGTTGCAAAAGCAGAGCTTGACAGTGAAGTTAAGTAACAAAGCCAAACCTGCAGGCATCTGACAGCAGAGCACTGATCCAGCCACAGACTATTGTAAGGGATCTTGTGTTAGCTGCTCAGGCAGGACAATGGCCGTTGTGAGAAACAGGCAGGTTGCTGCAGCCACACACTCTAAACAGTGCATGGCTGAAAATAGAGCTTGCTCACCGCTCACTCATCCAGGGCAAACACAGCATAGTTGGGGAAAGACCAAATCCCTTTTTAGGTCTTAGTGGCATGTTTATATGCTGACTCTACCCTGCTCTAGTCTGTTCCTTATCAATGCCGCTTTCAGAGGAAATGAGGGAAATGGGTGCAAGAGTGTAGAAGCACATGTAGGAGAGCTCCTTCCTCAGCACATCCTGCACTCAGCAAGCTAGAGACTTGCTGGAAGATGCACCTGCAGCATCATATTT